CTCGATCCCGATGACCTCGCGACCATGTCATGGGACGAGTGGATCCCTCTCGTGTTCGACTCCCCCTCCGACCGCAACATAGCCGGGTATGCAGGACGCGACAGCTATAGCTGGTCCAACGGCCCACCCCTCCAAACCCTCCGACCCGCTCACCTGCTTCGACGAGAGGCCCTGGACGCTGAGCCTGGTCCGGCACTCCCGGCTCCTCCATTCCCCAACCCACTTATCCCGCGCATTGGCTGCCTGGACAACGGCAGTTTCTCGATCCTCGCCGTTCCAGTCGACGTGGAGAACCCTCTCATATGGACGCTCACGGCACCCATCCTCGGGGACGTACACATCGGCATACACATCCGGATGGAGTACGCCAGCACCTGGGTGTGCGGCACCGTTCGGTCCATATTCCGACTGCATGACGACTGCGTCACCTTCTTCGTGCATGGGATTGTCGTGTCTTCCGGACAGGTCGTCAACTCGGAGCGCGTCATGTTGCGCGTCACGCCGGAGCTCGCCCGCCTTTCAATGCGAGATTGGACAAGGCACAACGTTACCAAAACCGCCGACGTGACCATGCAAGCCGGTACGTACGTTCACTACATACTTAGATTGACTATTGTTCTAATTTAAGATTAAAACAGACGCGTTTAGCAGCTGGGAAGGACCACGGGTGGCGATGGCAAGGGAAGAGGACGCGTAAACTCGTTATCGATTCTTTTTGTATTAGAATATTACGAACGCAGTGACCAGATATGCGACGGACATCGAAAGAAAAAGGGATACACCGCAAGTAATCCGACAAGGAGCGTACGACACGACAATGAAACGGTAACCAAGGAAAAACCGCCAAATGAAATCTATTGCTGGCATACTCCAGGCCTCGACGGCCCCACGCAGAAGGATATAAGTTTAACAAAGATCGTCACAGAAGGTCGAATCAATACAACGTACCATTCCTCTCGAGTCACCAAACTGAATTATCGAAGCATCAGATGAGCCTGAGAGAACATCCAATCACACGTGTGATGGAACCGCACCGGAAAAGCATGCCAACTATACTACGCTGCACGAAGCCTCGCGCAGAGCGACACTTAAGTCATGACTCGCTCCCTTCCTCTCTACCAGGAAACCACCTGTTCTATCGTAAAGACACCATGCAGCCGCTTACTGAGATCTCCCTTTCTGACCGCAACGACCGTCCTCTCACTCGACATGGACCTTCCGCCGGCAACACGAGCCAAGCCATGAACGTACTCTACACGTCTGGCAGTGAGGGCGCACCCACGTCGCCTGCAGTAATCACGCCACCCCGACTTCGCCGATATCTTTCTATTCCATCATCCCCACCAGCTACGACAACTACCAACGTCGCTCTTGCAGGTCAGAGCGAGTCCGGCACCACCGCTAGCTCAACAACGGTCACATCGTCCGCGACTACAGACACCTCTACAGGATCTACCAATGCAGTACCTCGCTCTGAGGAAGACTCTGTCGCCCTCCACTTTCCCCCGCCAGGGCTCACTAGGGCATACCCTCCTCAAGGCTGCTACGTAGTTGCGCCTATTGGCACGCGACTCCATCCCTACGTCCTACCTCCCCGTCCTGGGAACCTGTGGCGCACTATCCTGGAGGGAGCCCTCGGTAGTCCTCGCACCTTCAAGCGAGTCGACTTGGTCTTTCGGGACATCGCAGAGACCAGACCCGAGCGCAGCAGTGGCGTAGGCAGTTCACTCCTTGGCCAAGACGGCTCAGGACTCGATGTCCATTACCCTGCCTCCCTCATCCGCGTCGACGCCTTAGATGAAGAACCAGGCCTGTCTCCTACGCTAGGCCCTCCCCCTCCCCTTCGATTCGCCTTATCCATCAACGACCACGACCAACGACATCGTACCGACTATCCACCGTATGCTATGCACCCTACTCCCGCCAACCCCTTCGTATGGAACCTGATGGCTCCGGTCGGTCAGGAGATCCGTATGGGACTACGTCTCAGTGCATCCCACGGCGAGGTCGCCATGTACGGCGAGGTATTCAAGATCTACCGCCTACACTGGGACTGCACCAGCTTCTACGTCAACGGCATGGTCCGCGCATACGGCCACGACTACCGTGCCAACAATATTATTATCCGCATGCCGTCCCACGCAGCCAGCATCACCTTTCGTCAGTGGCGTTTCCACAATCTCAGCAAGCTCACAGCAGCGGAAGGTCCGTAAGCACGGACACGGAGTAGAGATACCGGCCACTGCAGGATAGTCTTAGATACCTATGCCGTAGATAGCACGAACAACAACTCGTATTTCACAAAACGATGTATCCTCTCGAGTAACAGTGGTCGAATAACAAGCGGGCGAAAACAAAAAAGATGTTAAACAAGTAAAGTAAAAAAAAAAGTGCACGATCTCGAAGGGAGTAAGGAAGGGCAAAATAGTGGAATAATTCGACGCAAAGGGGTACAAAGTAATCCGAGGAAAGAGGTAGGAAGGCGCGTGTGAATAACAATAAGCAAATAGAACGAAATTAGGACAAGTAACCTTCGCTGTTGTCCATCATTCCCCTCCTTACTCACTTACCATAGGACAAACGTACCGATTAGCG